TTTTTCTTCTTCTTCTTCTTCTTCTTTTCCTTGATCATCATTCATGCAAAATTTCCATATAGCCACCCGATAGTAGGAAAAGATTCTTTTAAATTATTCAGAAAAACATCCAAAGAAAATTTTATTATCATCATCACTTGGTTGGCCACTTGGTTTGGTTTTTGCTGAATGATCTCATTTCTTCGTTCTCCCAAATAGTTGTTGTTGAACAAATTTGATTTGATGTTTGATTTTTTTACGATGTTGTTCCTTCGTTCAATGTTAATTACCAAAAACCAAAAACCAATGAAAAAAACATGAATATTTTACCTTTGAGAGAAAACATTACGACTTTTTTTTATTTTATTTTATTTTGATTTAACAAAATAAAAAAGGAAACCGGCATCTTTTGAATTCAAGTTTGTTGTTGTTTTTTAGTGGAAAATTTGTTTCAGAAGTTTTGCTGTTTGTTTTTTTGCAGGGGAAACATTGTTTAATTTTTACCTGTTCTTTTTTTAATTACCCTGTGTTTGTTTGTAATTTGTAATTAAGGTAATTAAATTAATGATGATGATGATGATTAACATAGATGCTAATCATGTTTTTTAAAAGGTTTTTTTTCGAAAAAAAAGGCTTTTCTTTCTTTTGATTTCCAAGTTTCTAAAATCCTAATTCTAATCTGTTCTGTTCTGTTCACACGAAACAAGGAGAAGAAGAAGAAGGAAAAGATCAGATATCAGTGATCAAAAGGTGATCAAAATAACACTTTTTTTTGGTCTTCCTATAGATTTGATATTGATGGGAATTCTGTTCATTTATCGGTCAATCAAAAACTTGTTCAAGGTATTTTGTTTCTTGGCCATTTCTACCCTGTTTGGCTATTGTTTATCAGATCAGATTAGAATTAGATTTGGTGGCCAAAAAAAACAGCTATTTTGTCCTTATTGATGGTGGTGATCGATTAAATGGCTGAAGCAGCAAGTCAAAAAAAAAGACCAGAAGATATTCTTCTTCGTCGTCATCGAAGACCTTTATTGTTTAAAATTATCGGCTATTTACACCCAACTATCATCCACAACAAGAAAAAATATTTCCAGAAACGAAAAAAAAAATTTCAAAATAATAATCAGCAGGGGCTCTTATCACCAACACCACCATCAACAACAAACCATCATTATCATTATCATCTACCATGGGTGGTTGGTTGATGGTTGATGGTAGTACGCACCCATCATTTTCACCTAACCATTATCATTATTATTATCATCGTTCGTTTGTTCGTTTTTGGTTCGTAAAAAAAACAACTATAATAATAATAATGGGTGGTAAATAACCAAACAACGACGATCATTTTTAGGTAATAATCATTATCATCATCATCATCATCATGACGAGCTGCTACTTTTATCCAATGATGATGATGATGATCATCATCATGGATATTCCTCCCTCTGGTCCACAGCCTCCCCCCTCCTCCCCAAAATCAATTTTTTTTCAATAAAGTTTTTTTTTTGTAACCTGGGTCCACCGAAAAATATACCTGGCTGCTTATCAACCAGCCACCAATACACCTTTTTCAATATTTCATTGGGAATTTTGACACACGATTTTTTTTCTGTTCATTCTGGTTTAGTTTAACTGACCATTGTTGTTTGTTTGTTTGTTGTTTATTGATTGCCATCGATGATACCTGTGTGGGTGCTTGTTGTTGTTGTTGTTGTTGATGGGAAAAACAACAACAACAACAACAAAAACATTGTATTTTCTGACAAAAAACAACAATGCAGATCAACCAACCGCAACAACAACAAGTTGTTGTTTTGGGTGAAAAGAAAACGATCACCCATAGCGAGAAATTGATAGGTTTTTCACCAAAAAAGACCTACCTGGATGGTAACCCAAAAATATCGTCGGCATCGATCACAGTGATCATCATTGGTTATTTTGGATCATTGGAAAAAAAATTTCAAGAATTTTTCACCACCACCGAGGTTGCTGTTGTTAACCATTTTTTCATTCAAAAAATTTTTTTTTTCAAATTGAAAATCGATTTGTTATCATTATAATTGTCAAGTTTTTTTTGAAAATCTGGTCCATTGAGCTGAAAAATTGAATTTTTGGTTTCGGTTTTGGACAAACAAAGTTTCTGCTGTCAAAATAGTGGACAAAATGACCAATCAAATTTCTATTATCGGTTCGGTCTGTCCATTTGTTGTTGTTGTTGTTGTTACAAATTGGTTGATTGAATTTGTTGTTGTTGTTGTTGAAATTGAGAATTAACAACAACAACAACAAAACCTTTTGCTCTATATTTGTTCACCAAAAAAAAAAAAAAAAAAAAAAAAAAACCCGCTTAGATTTGGTTTTTTTTTTTT